GATTAGAAGGGCCCCTTGGTTTACTGAGGCTTAATCTACTTTACTTGGACTGAGACAGATGTATGTATGTGTACCATGAAGCATTATACACATTTATGCCTATTATGGTGAAAATACCAAGGGACGTCAAAAAGTTCACAGAAAAATGCCACCATCTTTTAATTCCATTTTCTGCACACTTTTTGTAGCTCTTTCATACAACTTGGCCTTGAAAGGAATTATGTGAGAGTTTGCTAAGATGGTGAGCAAAGTTGGTCTGTGTGCCTGTATCCAATTCTACATCTGACTTTTGGGGGGTTGAGAGGCTATGAATTTCAGCTCGATGGCACTTAACAACAATAACAATAAAGACATGGATTGTATCTCTTATTGTGGTTGAATTTCACAGGCTAGACTGGAAGTCTCCTGAGTGCAAGGACACCATCTGCCGTCCTCACGCGATTCCAGTGTTCACTGTACCTACACGTAGTTGATGCTCAGTAATTATTATGTAGATTAACATGAGGCTGTGTCTTGATCTGATTGTTGAAACAGGAAATAAATGCTTTATGCTCTGCTCTCTAGAACTCCATGGTCTCTCTTTTATACAGTTCTCCCCAGACCTGCTTAGGGGCATCATTTGGATATTTGGAACTTTCTGTTTTATCTGTCTCATCTTGAGGGACCTTATAGCTTTTGTTGTTGTTAAATGCAGTCAAGTCAATTTTGACTTATAGAGGCCCTGTATAGAGTTTCCAAGAAGCAGCTGGTGAGTTTGAACCATCGACCTTGCGGTTCAAACCAACCTTGTGGTTGAGTGCTTAACCCTACAGCAGACAGGACCTTTGGAATATTCATGGTAAAAATAGAGGCAACAACAGGGAAGTGTCAAGAGTAACTTGATAAAACCACCAAGGCATGAGCAAGTGTCATCAAATCTGGGTCCTTACAAGAGATGAGAAGTCTCTCTGGAAACACCACACTTGGAAAATGCTGGTCCTTTTCATCTACCTGACTGTTCAGATGCAAACAGTGGGCTGTTCTATTTTGGGCTTCACAAGGCAACGGCTCAAGGTTTCCTTTCTTTGATCCAGGTGTTGGTGGAGTACATTTGACATTTTAATACTAACTTGCCTCTAACAAGTTAGAAAAGAATTCAAAAACGTGTTATAAGTAATTACATATGCATGAATTATTTAAACTTGGAAATAAAACAGGAGAACGATGACATGTCTTTCCAACGTTTTAAGGTCCCTGGGAGGCAGTCATGCATGGTTTATTCCAGTCCCCAGGACAGGGGTGGGGAACCTATATTCTGCCAAAATTTCTACATCATTCGTGGGCCACACAGAATTGTCAGCTTAAAAAATTAGCCTGCTGTATTTGGTCCAACATTGAACTAACTTACCCCTAAAGTGATGGCTGGTATGGTGCTGTCGGATAAAGCACTGGACAGCAAGATCAGTTTAGACCACAAGGTTGGTGGTTCAAGTTCACCAGCTGCTCCTTAGAAACCCCATAACGGTTGCTATGAGTCAGAACCAACTCATAACAACAAGTTTGACACATGTATGTGTATATATATATATATATATATATATATATATATATATATATATATATATATATACACATAGATACTGTCACTGCTAAGTGCAGTTGAATCATTTCTGACTCGTCATGGTGGTGGTGGTGGCGGTGTGCTATGGAGTTGGTCCTGACCTATAGATACACTGTACAGGGTTTCCGAGGCTGTGAATCTTTATGGGAGCAGAAAGCCTCACCTTTCTCCTGGAGAACCACTGGTAGTTTTGAACTGCTGACCTTGAGGTTAGCAGCCCCACTCGTATCCACGACACTACCAGAGTTCCTTGTATTGGGTTTTCGAGGAGCAGTTCATAGGTTTGAATCCCTTATAGTAGGCTTAGATCTTGCAGTTAGCAATCCAGTGCGTACAGCACCCCAGCAGGACTCCACATATAGGTATAATAACTAAACCAACCCTACCGCCACAGAGTAGATTCAGACACTTGGTGATCCTATACAGAATTTCTGAGCTCTACATCATTACTTGAGCAGAAAGTCTCTTTTTTCTCCCTCAGAGTAGCTGGTGGGTTTGAACGGAAGGAACTACTGCTGCTAGTGTTAAGCTGTCAACTGAAAGTTTGCAGGTTTGAACCCACTTCATGGGAGCAAGATGAGGGAGTCTATTTCCAACTCATCATGACCTTGTATGGGTTTCCCAGGTGCGGCCAGTGGGTTTGAATTGCCAACCTTGTGGTTCAAACCAACTTGCGGTCCAGGGCTTATCCTACAGCTCTCTCTACAGGGTTTCTGTAAGATGGAACTGACTCAATGGCACAACAAATATCTTCAAAACGAATTCAGAAAGAAAATACAAGATTGAGGAAAGCTGAGGAGATGTCACCTTTGGTGTTGGTGCCTTTCTTGCTAATAAGCAGTTTTAACACTGTCCTCGCTAACCACCTAGAACGTCATGGATTATGCATGATAGACAGACAGACAGAAAACTGCTGAAGCCTAGCAGTACTATCTGGTCCTCGGCTGTGATGTGGTTCCGTTGTGGGGGAATACGTTACTATCCAGGGGGGACTGCAATTTTTTCTAAATCTATAACTATTTCTAAAGAAAAAATAATAATGCTGCTGATCTCTAGATGGGCCCATGGTGGTGCTGTGGGTTAAGTGTTGGGCTGTTAACCTCAAGGTCGGAGGTTCAAACCCACCAGATGCTCCAAAGGATAAAGATGAGATTGTCTGCCCTTTGGGAGAAATTCTACTCTGGTCACTGAGCCGGAAGTGTCTGAAGAGCAGTGGGTTTGATGTGAAAAGGAAGCCTCCCTTCGAGCTTTGGTCTCTTACGGAGGTGAGGCATATCTGTTTTCTTTGTCTGTGTCCTCATATATAGCAAGCTGACTCCTCGGTAGGGAAGTCGGGAGGACTCCTGGGTGGGGTAGAGTGGAAAGGGCATGGTACCCCCATTCTCTCCAGGACTTGATGACAATGAAGACAAGTGAAGACAGAAATCTCTGCTCACCTTCCTCTCACCCCTCCCTCTCTGGACCCCACAGGTCCCAGATAGCGCCAGGCTTTCGGGTTATTTCAATATCTTGGGAAGTGGCAACCAGGAGAATTAATTGGGCAAAGTGCCCTGGCAAATGGGTGGGTCAATAGGTGGCTGGACCACCCAAAAGTCTATTCTGCTTGGTAGAGTCAGGTTCTAGTACCGTGCGTTCCAGGCAGGAAGGTCTGGAGCCGGGCAGAAGGGGCATGTGGGTTTTCAGACTTAGGCAGTTTCATTAAAAAAGCCCTCTTTCACCTTCCGAGTTTCCTGGAGCCACACTCTGCACTAAAAAAGGCACTTGGGATTGCATGTGTTTGTAGACCTGGGATTGGGTGCATGTCACACACAAAGCTTAGAGTCTTAAGACAAAAAACATAAAACAAAACAACAAACCTTTCCCCCACATGTGATAAACAATTCTGTGGGCGGTGCAATAGGCTCAGCTGCTAACTGGGAAATGGGAGGTTGGCGTCCACCCAGTGGTGCCTTGGAAGAAAGACCTGGCAACCTACTTCCAAAAAACCAACCAATGGGAACACGCTGAGGTGTGGCCATGTGTCCAAGTCAACACAATGGCAACTGGTATTTTGTTGTTGTCTTTGAATGATAAAGGAAACACGTGACATATTAGCTAATATCTTTTTATTGTCAGACTTTCTTTGAACCAACAAACATGATTTCACAAAGGTGTCCAAAAGGGATAAGGCAAATTTCTGGTTTCCTTGTGGGTAAGACTTAGCTGGTCCAAGCCTTTACAATTTCTCTCTATAAAAATAGAAGTCCTAGACCAGATTCCCTCTTAGTCAGCACTGTTGATTAATTTATAGGGGCTCTGCTGAGACTACCTGCAGGAACTTGAGATAAAATCTGTGTATATTGCTTTAAAGCCTCACCAGGTAGCCTGGGTCCTTCAGAGATGCGCTCGTGCGTGGTATTTCCTCCAGAATGCAGCATCTCTCGACCCTGTCCCACAAGCCCCAATCCTCATCGATCCCAAGTGAACCTTCCCAACAGCCCACTTCTCTTAAATCCTTCAGAAACCAAAGACTCCAGAATGACTTTCCATTGTCGCAGTCCTCTGCTTCAGAGTGGCTTATAAATACAATCTCACGCCAAACGCAGGCTGCGCCCCCTGTTCATACCACAGCAGACACAACGCAGACTCGCTGCCAGGACAAATAAAACTGAACCCAGGTATGTCGCTGCAAATACAGCAGAAAGGGATTTGCCAGTTGTAAATACAGACAGCCTTGCTGAAGGAACAACGGCAGACAAGAACTCAGCACTAGTAAAATTTACAGACCGTTTTACACCATTGTTGTGAATGCTCACGGTACAAGGATTACGGAGATGAGTTTATGGCATACATGCACGCTCGGGCAAGCACAGAGACAGAAGAGATGAAACAAAGAACAAAGTTCAGACATGTCTGAGGGCTGCCAGCAGCACTCCTCGTAAATACCCCATCCTCCTTGGCTCCCTCGGTCCCCTCCCCGGCTCCCTCACCTTCCCTCAGATCCCGGAAATCAAGCTGGGAGGTTAGTGCACAATCAATGGACCAATGCCCATCCTAGCTCGCTGCCAGCCTCCCGCACGGTGTCGGGGGGGCAAGAGCATCACCCTTCAGTAGCATCATTAAGGCTGATGAGTGTCGGTCAGTCGGTCGGTTCTCCAGGCTAAGGCACTTCCGGCTGCTTTGGCGGCAGCGTGGATTTTGTTTTTCCTCTTTCGTTTTTAAGGCATTGTATCCTCTAAGAGTCCTAAAGCTTTGGAAACGGTGCAGACTGTTAAGGTACACAGCTGTAATGCAGGATTCCCTGAAGTTGACAGGGCGAAAGGATGCTCGGAGACACCTCCCTCCACCGAGGGGCTTCCAGGAAGCCCAGCTCGGCTCAGCACAGAGGCAAGATGGTGGCACACTGGGACCCCCACGGCCTTCACCTGGAGCTTCCCTGGCTGCTCACGGAGCGTGTTGTGCTATAGCGCTTCTTCACGATCATGCTGATGTAGGCTTTCATGAGCTTGGCCACATCCACCACCTGTGGAGAAGCAGAGGCACTGTGGTTGAGATTCCCACGATCCGAGCGGGAGAGATGGGGAAATGGACGGGTTCCAGTTCAAGGAGAAAGAGACCTACAGGCTGGTGCTTCTCCAAACAACGTCGCCCCCTGGTGGCTCTTACCCATGAAAACAGCAACTCAGCTTCTTCAGTCCCATCTTGTACATACACTGGTAGCAGGATTCAAGGACTCTACTGTCTCCACTGGAGCGCATCCTTACAAAATCCCATTACTGACAGAATCACCCAATTCCAGCCCTAGCAAGGACCCCAGAGGCCTTCGCAGCCGCCTCTCCAGACACCTGGAGGCTTCCTTGGGATGTTGGCTCCTCCCCTTTTTGTGTGTCCCTCTTCACCGCTGGCCTGGCTCCCTCTGAAGGCTCCCTAGCCTTCTCCTGCCTCTCTCCTCTCTTCCACTCCTGCGCTGGTTCCCCACTTCCACGTTACAGGTCCCATAGTAGCTCCTTCTAGTCTACTATCCTGACCACATCCTGTTGCCAGGGTCCCTCCAACCTCACTGCCTTGACAGACAACCCTGTCCAGTGCACCCCAAAGACTCTCCTCACCTCCTCCCAGGACTTCACCCCAATGGCCGGATGGGGCCTGTGGCTCATTCACTGCACTGCCCCCTGTACTGACCAGCAGCTCCCTGCCTGGAGATCTCTGCAGCGTTCTTGTATCATAACTATGATGACTGCTCTCAGCTTTGGGACTCTCACATAGGAAGAGGTTTTTATAAGACAGGGTGCCCAGGATGGTCACGTCCTGGAGCTCTTCCCTGTGATGCAGACATGTCGGTTCTGACTCTTAGCAACCCCCACGTACACCGACAAGAAACTCTACCCGGACCTGAGACAACCCAAAATCGCTGTAGCCATTGCTGCAGCCACTGGGTCAGGCCATCTTGTTGGGGGTCTTTCTCTTTTTTGCTGACCCTCCACTTTACACATCATGATGTCTGTCTGTCTCAGGGACTAGTCCCTGCTAGAACCCACTTCCACCGTACAGCATATCATTTGCCCTTCCTTCCCTTTCCTCCACAGGTAAAAGCTGCCCTGCCGGCTACAATGCAATCCCATCTCTGTTTCAAAAGTGTACACACACACACACACACACACACAAAGCAGCTGGAATTCCCAGATTCTAGAAGGTGAGGAGGCAGATACTGGAGAGGGACCACCAGCCGCCTGCCTTTTTATAACCAAGTGAAACAGTATGAAAGAAGCCAAAGGCATCTGAAATGTTATCTTCTTCTTCTCTTCTGCTAAAGACCATGCATGAGAATGTCTGCTCGGTCTGCCCCTTACCTCACTGGTTTCAAACAGTAGCTCCCGTTCGTCCACCACGATCTTATACGTGTTGGCCAGCGGGGCCCCGAACGAGAGGATGTGCTCGTACTGAAAGACTTCCAACGGCTTCCCCTCCCCTCGCTTGTAGACGGAAACAGCATCCGCGCTGACGCCCAGCCAGAGCTCCTGGGGGAAGCCGCCTTCCTTGCACTGGTGGGTGAGAAATCAGTGAAGGGTTAGAACACACGGCAGTTACAAGATTGTCTCCCAGTCTCTAATTCCCACTTAGAAAACCCACTGCCACCCAGTCGGCTCTGGCTCACTGAGCTCCTTACACACATTTTCCAAGACTGTAAATCTTTCCGGAGCAGGCAGCTTCATCTTTCTCCCTTGGAGCAGTTGGTGGGTTTGAATCGCTGATCTTGTGGATAGCAGCCCAATGCCTAACCCATCACCCCACGAGGACTTCTTGTATTTAGACTTAGGGGGTTCGCTATTTTGATGGACTTCTGACTGGTTGATCGACCCAGGGCATTTGGGCAGCCTGACTGATAAGTGTAGACATGAAGCCTTGATTCTATTTCATGATGCTACTGTGTTGCTAGCTACTGCACTTAGCTGCCTGGAAGAAGTGTGGCCCACTCACCAGTGGGTCTGCTCAATAGCCAAAGAGCCCCAGCCAGTCCATGCCACTCCCTCCACTACAGCCTCGAACCATTTTGTGGAGGATGATTCTTTAAACACAAAATTGAGGAGCACAGAGGAAAATTCCCCAGAGCATGTGCACAGAGTGGTTTGGGCTACTCTTAAAAACCACAGCTCCACACAAGGAGCTCCACTGGCCTCCTGTAGGTGCGATGGGGAGCAGGTAACATGGCATGACCAACTAACATGCTTGTACAGAGCAGTGCAGAGGGAACCAACCCTAATGTACAGGTTAATAAGCGAACCCAGGGAGGAAGCAGAAGACTACCATTACACTGCAACCAACACCATGAAACAAAATGTGTAAAAGTTGTTGAATGGGAAATGAATTTGCTCAGTTAACTTGAAAGTAAACCAATTTTTTTTTTTCTTATAAATAAGACTGTTTCTATAAATCTTGGGGATATAAGGTTTCACACGGTAGGAAATGTCCTACAACACCTCATTTCTAAGAACTAGCCACCGCCCGACCCACCATTCATTCAGGATTGCACTGTGTCTCCCAGAACTATGTCCTGAAAACCCTCACTTCTGTGCCCGTGGTTATAAACCCTGTTGGTGAGACAGGATTAATGGAAGGTGTGTCTTGAGTCTGCCCCTTGTGAGGTCTAAAAAGGATGAAAGAAGCCTTTGAGAAGCAGAGACACAAAGAAACGACAAGTCACGAGCCGAAGTTCAAAGAGACAAGGAGCCGCCTGCGAGCTGAAGGAGAGAGAAAGCCTTCCTCCAGTGCCCCCAGTGAGAACACCAGTGGCTGTGGGTTCAATTCCGAGGTGTTTCTGGTCCAGCAACACTAGGGCAACACCAACCAACCAAAGTCAGACTCAGCTAAAAAGCCACAAAGGGACCAGACTAGATCATTAAAACTTAGATTTTTATAGAGCTTCATCTGACGGTCAAGGAGCCTTGGTGGCACAGCAGGTTAAGTGCTGGGTGGATAACCATAATGCCAGTGGTTCAAACCCACTAGCTGCTCAAAGGGAGAAAGGTGAGGTAAAGATTCCGTCTCAGAAACCCTAAGAGCAGTTCCTCCTATGTCCTGCAGGGGTTGCCATGTGTTGGAACTGACTAGCAGTGGGCTGGATTTTGGCTCTTTTTAAGTCATCGAGTAACAGCCTGACGCTTCTCTGTGCGAGTAAAATGAAGCTTTCTGTTCCCATAAAGATTTACAGCCTCGGAAACCAGACGTAGGGTGAGTGATTTGTCAGCACGATGAATGGTGGCCCACCTCACTCTGCATGTGATCATGACTTAGGGCCTGGGACACAGCCTGGTCTAGGCGGGGATACCTGTGCCCAGTCCTCACCTCCACATCGAAGAGCGTGGACCCGTACCCGGGCCACTCCTTGATGACAGCCATGTACTTGGCCATGGCCTGCTCCTGTTTCATGCCCTGGAACTTTTTCCACTTGTCAATGATGCTGGCTCGTGCAGACGACACCTCCTCCTTCACCCACATGTCCAGCATCTGCTCCTCCTCCAGCTTCTGCCTGTGGACAGAGCCAGTGCGGAAGCTCCGCCTCAGTGTCCCCTCCAGGAAGCTGGTCCGCCTCTTCTCCAGCCGCTCGCCGGGAGTGAAGCTCTTGGTGGCCTGGCTGATTCGGGCCTTGAGCCTGTGCAGGGAGTACACCTCTTCCAGAGCCGGGACCGTGGTGTGCAGGCTGTAATCTCCCTGCAGGTACTGGAGACGCAAGGCAGCCAACACCTGCAGGTTCTCCTCCGGGGCCGGGTAGTGGCCGTGGATGACCGCCTCGTGGGCCTGCAAGAGGGACAGCCAACAGCGTGATGTCACTGCCAAGTCACCTTCTGACTGCTTGGACCCTACATCCATCATGGCTGTAAACGTCTTCCAAGCATGGACACCATCTACTACCCACTGAACGGTGGCCCCCAAACATGCCTTGGAATTCTAACCTTCATGCTTGTGGATGAATCCTGTTTGGGGAATGGGTCTTTCTGTTCCTAAACCTAACCACCTGTGTGAAGCATAGACCTAGAACACCTTCCCCTCAGAAGAGTACCTCCCGAAGCAGTGCATGCTGGGAAATCTCCCACCACCCTGAGTGTCTAAAGGACTGGTGGTCACTGACAAATTGTGCTCACTGGGCAGGGGGTCTCTTCCTCAAAGCTCCCCTTACCTGTTCAAACATAAACGCAAACTCCACGCTGTCTTTGGGCACGTTATCTGTGTCCAGGAAGCAGTAAAGTTTGAAGTAGAATTTCCACGGCATGTCTCCCGCTTCTGAGGTGGCCGCCAGCCTGCAACAGAGGTTGGGGAGACTCAGGGCCCTGGTCACACACCACACCTGGCCCAGCCCGCTGCAGCGAACTAGGTTCTGACTCCTGGCGACCCCTCAGGGGTTTCTTGACTATCATCTTTACAGAAACAGATCATCCAAACTTTCTCCTGGGGCACCTTCGGGGGTTGGAACCATCAACCTCTATGTTAGCACCTGAGTGCAACCTGTGTGTAGCCCCCAGGGACAGAGGGCTGACTTCAGATGATTCAGGCATTCGGCCTGGCTCCTGGGACAGAGATGAGGGGGAGGAAGAAGACACATGTAGTGACGAACAAGCTGCCACGTGGGCCTCACCTTATGAAGGCAGGCAGGTAGCCGTCACCAATCAGGTAGGAGACACCTGCTGAGGCTCCCGGAGTAACCGGGCGGTGTCCGCACAAAGACACGGACCAAGGTGGCTCCTTTATTGTCCCCACCAGCCCTCACCCAGCGACAAAAGTATTTAGACACACTGCCAGGAACTCAAGTGCGTGGGGGCTGAATTGACCCCCAATAGGAATACAGAGTGGAGAAGGTGAGAGTAAAACATCAAACAGGAGGGGGCTTTAAAAAGTTTGTGGAAAATGTCCATTATCTTTGCATTCCATTTCTCTGTGAACTTTTTGAAGCCCCCTCATATTCTAAGTCCCAAACACCAAAAACCTAAGCCGATACCATCCAGTCGATCCCAATTCCCGGTGTTAAGAGAGCAGAACCACTCTGTAGGGTTTTCTTGGCTGTAACCTACAGTAAAGCACATCACCAGGTCATTCTTCTGTGGTTGTTGGGTGGGTTTGAGCCATCAACATTCTGGTTAGTGCACCACCCAGGTACCTTCTTGTGGATCCACGGGGTATCAGATGCAGTTCGAACAGTTTCTAAGTTGGCTTGAGTCTATTAGTCCAGTTTCAACGTGAATGAGAAATGTGCCCACCCCACCCCAAAGCTGGGCTCCAACAAGGACTGAGAACAAGGACCCTCAGGTGCTGGCCTCCACCAAGGACGTAGAGCAAGGCCAGGTAAAAGAACAACAGGAAGATGAACTAGCTAATTAAGGTTTTGTGTCAATCTGGGCTGTTGTAGCCCTTAAGATGCCGTGGTGGTGGTGGTTCTATGCCGTGGAGTCGGTTCCGACTCATAGCGACTCTGTATAGGGTTTCTCAGGCTGTAAATCTTTATTGGGTCAGAAAGCCTCATCTTTTTCCCATGGAACAGCTGGTAGTTTCGAACTGCTGACCTTGAGGCTATGCTATCAGAGCTCCTTAAGATGCAAGCATGCCCCCTAATGAGGTCTAATATAATGCAATCACCTCCATGCTAGGATCTGCTCTGAGCAGCTAATAAACTAAGACGTTTCTTCTGTGGAGTGGAGGGAGTAGAAAAGGAGGGGCCTACAGCCACAGAGAAAGGGGAGCCGGGAGTGGAGAGCAGCCTTTGGGTCTGGAAGCTCCTAGATCCAGGGGAAGTCTGATGTCAAGACACATGGCGAACTCCCAAGAATGCTGGGCCTCCAGATGCTGAAAGGAGACCAGGCCCTTCCCCAGAGCCCACAGAGAGAGCCTTCCTAAGGCACCAGGCCTCTAAAATTGGACTTCCAGACTCCTAAACTATGACAGAAGAAGTTTCTGTTTGTGAAAGCCACTCCCCTTGTAGCATCTCTGTTCCAGCAGTGCTAGATCACTAAGCTAGAACACCACATCCGAGATGGGGGTTTCACTTAGGAATCAGGGAGAGCAGGCCAGTACGCTTCAACACAGGCCAAACAATGAACCCAAACTCCGCAATGGAGCTGAAGCGGAGTGCTGGGAGTCCAGATTCTCATGCCTGGCCATGAATTTCTTGTATTCAGTAGGGTGGACTTACTTTTCAAACTTGGCTAGCACGTCAGCCACGATGGTTCGGCTTTCGATGGCTTTGTCTAGATGTCCGTTGTGTTCGAACAAGGCGAACATGTTCCTGCTATCCTCCATGGCCAGACCTCGGATCAGCTTCTCCACTACCTGCAAGACACGGCACAGGGTCTTCAGCTTCAGAAGCTGTGGTTCCAGCTTGGGGTGTGGGCTGTGCCCGCAGCCAAACCCAGAGGGTTCTGTGGGGCTCTGAGCAATCCCCTAAGGTCAAAGGGTGTTTAGGAGTCCACAAAGACAATGTCCTACATTTGACTTTGATAAGTAGCAATGGGAGTAAGAAGCTTGTAAGTGCAGTTATTGGCCTCTCTCCGTCTGGAGCAAGGACACATGGGAACAATGAGCCCACGGGACTCATGGATCACATACATGTCAGTCTCCATGACCATGAGACCAGAGAGCTAGATGGGGCCCAGCTATCTCTGAGGACTGCTCTGAACCTCAGCAGGACGTCCTGGACAGAGTGGGAGAAAACTGTGGAATAAAACCCCGAACCTTAACAACCGCCAGCCTGGGGGGAGTAGTTAATCTTACAGTCCACCAACAGACAACCCTAGGACCACCAAGGGATAAGAGCACGAGCAGAATGTGGGACCCTATCCAGAGAAGCAGTAACAGCAGAGATGGAGGCAGAGATGAGGACATGGAAGCAGCTGGGAAGAGAGGGACTGGATGCTGGCAACCAGGAAGCCAAAGGCTTCCAGACCCAAAGGCTGCTCTCCACTGCCGGCTCCCCTTTCTCATGGGAAGAGAGGGACTGGATGATGGCAACCAGGAAGCAGACTTGCCGAATGTACCCTTTGGTTGTTTAAATGATTATATATTCCTAAGGGTTTTTGTGTATATCAATAAGCAAACAAACAAACAAAACAGAGGGAATAGAAGCAAATACTGTTAAATGATGATGCATGGAGGGGATTGTAATCATTGCAATGAAACAACATACGATAGGATGAGTGCAAAACTGATGTTCTCCCATGTAAACTATCACTCAATTCACAATAAAAGCTTTAAAAAGGAAGCAAACCTTCACTCAATTCGTAATAAGCAGTTAAAAAAACACAACAAAATCCCCGCCAGACTTAGTGGTGGGACAAAGACTTATGGAACCCCGAAGCCTGGCCCTTAGATATTTCCTTCGAGTCTGGCACTGAACTTACCCCAATGGCTCAACTTTCAGCCAAACAAGCCTCAGGTGTATAAGGTAAACAAGAACCCGAGGGAAGTGCGCACTTCTTAGAACAGCCAACCATACACCAGCAGAAGGGCAACATTTGCCAGGTGTGGTACTGCAGGATAACACACTGGACTGCTAGGCTGGTGGTTCAATCCCAGCAGCCGCTCCTGGGAAGATCTATATAGGGTCGCTATGAGTTGGAACCAACTCGATGGTACAAAGCTCAGCGGTAGGAAGAAAAAGGAAAATGGATAAATGGAAACAGTAAACACTCAGTAGGAAGGGGTCAGAGTGCTGTTAAGGAGGGAGAATTGTCAACGAAGTCACAACACAAAATGGGTATGAACGGTTGAATGCAAAACCAATTTGCCCTCGAAATGTTCACCCAAACCACAATATAAAACCAAAAAACCTTTAAGACAACAAGTTATGGTCCAAAATGGTCCAACGTGTGGGTTTCAGAAGCACCATTTTCCCCTTGTTCTGTTGAAATTAGCTTCACTTCTTCCTGACCATAAAAAACTGAGGGCATTTGGCCCAGTGGGTAAGCAGCTGCTGGGCCTATCTCCAACAAGCCCACACAAATAGGGAAAATGCAAGCACACCAAAGCCCGGTCTTTCATCTGATCCATTTATGAACGTTCAGATGCAGTGGGCAGTCTCAGCCACTCTTCAGGAAATGTCTACTCTGGTGTTCTTTGTGGCTTACTCCATTCCTCTGTGAAGGGTACAGGCCAGAGAGAAGTACAGAGGATTACTTCTGATTAATAGCAGAAAGGATTTTACCAGACTCTAATATACGAAGTCTCTGCTCTTCAAAAAGCTCTAAGCTAAGAGCCAGGAATTGTTTGTGCAAATAAAAAGTTTTTGAATTGGGTGATGGTTGGGGATAACAAAGTAATGACTTTGGATGGTGTATGTTCTACACAAGCACCTTTCCTGGGTTTTACTGCACAACTTCTAGTCAGTTGGTTTTACAATAGTTTTAAAAAGAAAAAAAAAGAAAGGGTAGGGGATTCACTGCTTAGGAAGACTGAGCTTCTGTGGCCAGTGATGGATGATGGTCATCGTCATACAACACGATATGAACAATGCAATTAACATCACAGAATTGCCCGTGAAAGAGATGTGCTAACGTATATACAAAAGGGCTTCAAAAATCTGTGGGAAAATGAAACTTTTTGAAGCTCCCTCGGGTTTTTCCCACAAGGAAGCAATATGTTTTTAACAAGAAAAGACAGTGTGATCATGTGATACAACATTCTAGTTATTTATGGGCACACAGAGACATCTCGCTGCAGGCGCTATCCAGGAAGCCCTTGTAGCTGATGAGGCTGAGTAAGGTCTACAGAATATTATCTCTCGTGATTGTGGCGAAGTTTAATTCTGTGCTCCTGTTCATCTTTTATGCTATGTTGCTGTTTGTATGTGGTTGGTGGCATGACAGCCAATCAATGGCAGCCACGTCCTCCTCAGCACAGCGGCCATTCGCCTCGCCCTCACCTCGCCGGCCGTGGTGTGCGAGTTGATGGTGATCTTGCAGGAGCCCCCACCATAGCAATACACCGTGGATGTCATTTCCTGCCTATGGATCAGTGCTTCGATTTCATCTCTGGAAGGCACAAACTCTCTGCATTTGGTTTTCTTAAGAGATTCGTAGATGAAGAGGGCATATTTTTCCATCTCCGTTCCTGGAAACTGTTCCCGTATCCTAGGAGAAAAACAGTGACAGTCAACCACTAGAAGGAGGCTGGCTGGTTCCACAGAGGATGTGGTGAGCGCCCCCTGGTGGTGAACAGTGACGGTCACGCCACTAAAAGGAGGCTGGTAGGAGTGGAAGGCTGGCTCCACAGCGGACATAGTGAGCGCCCCCTGCTGGTTAATAGAGCAAACAGAGACTTCCTGGAAGTGGGACACGTTCTGCTTAAATGTGGCACTGTGGGTTCATACGTCAGACTGCAAAGCCGTTTGAACCGCAAGGTGGGCGGTTCAAGCTCACCAGGTGCTCCTTGGAAACCCCATACAGGCTATGGGTCCGAACTGACTCAATGGCACTAACAACAAGCAACGAACAACATCACAAAGCAAAGGCTGGACTGGGAGTGATGCTGCCGCCGGCTCATCTCTGCGGGGTTTTTCATACTTGTCAGGGCCAAATGTCACACTGTCACATGGAAATGATTTTTTCCATACTGAGCCAAATTCCAAATCAAATTCTTTTCACTTGTTGGATCTAGAGCAGATACCCAAGCTGCTTTACTTTTTTCTATTTACATAGGGTGCTGGTGACTCACAGCGACCCTGTAAGGCACTGCAGAATGAGGACTGCCCCATAAAGTTTTCCAGGCTGAAATCTTTACGGAGCAGACTGTAGGGACTTGTCTCCCTGGAAGCCAGAAGGAGTCCTTTTATACAGAGAAGTAGGATTAAGAAAGAGTTAACACAGGGCTGCTAATTGCAACGTTAGCAGTTCAAATCCACCAGCTGCTCTGAAGGAGAACGATGAGGCTCTTTGCTCCTGTAACGATTTATAGCCCCTGAAACACTGTAGAGAATTGCTATCAGCCAGAACTGACTCCACAGCACTTAACAAGGACCCCTGGTGGCACTGTGGCTTAGATGTTGGGCTACTAACCGCAAGGTCGGTAGTTCAAGTCCATCACCTATCTCACGGCAGAGACACGAGGCTGTCTATTCCTATAAAGATTTCATCTTGGAAGCCCTAGCAACAGTTTTACTCTCTCCTAAGGAGCTTTAGTAGTGTTGTGGTTACAAATCAGGCTGCAAACCTTAATGTCAGCAGTTCGAAACTACCAGCCGCTTTGCGGGAGAAAGATGAGGCTTTCTGCTCCCATGAAGATTTACAGCCTCGGAAACCCTGTACAGGGTCGCTATGGGTCGGAACTGACTCGACGACACTTCACCACCACCACCACCACCAGGTTTCTATCAGTCAGAATTGACTCAGTAGCGTGGAGTTAATGTCCAAAGAATAACACAGGAGTTTTTCAGTCTCTAAAACGGACTCATGTGGCTTAGGGGGAAAAAAAAAAAAAAAGCCATATTATTTCAGGGAAAAAGAGTCAGAGTCACAAACTTGACTGTTATTGGCTGCTGTCTAGTGGGTCCCAGCTCACACAACTCCACACAGCAGACACTCATTGTCTGGGCCTTCTCCTCCCTCACACGCAGGCGCAGACTGGCCGGTTGTCTGGTCCTTCGCCTCCCTCACATGCAGGTGCAGACTGGCGCGTTGTCTGGGCCTTCACCTCCCTCACACGCAGGTGCAGACTGGCCCGTTGTCTGGGCCTTCTCCTCCCTCACATGCAGGCGCAGACTGGCCCGTTGTGATTAACAGCATCCAGAGGCTGATTTTCTAAAGTAGATCACCTGGCCTTTCTTTCTACTCTGCATACATCTATCAGGTAGCTCCACGGAAACCCGTTCAGCATCACAGCAAACACACAAACCTCCAGACATGGATGGGGGGTATGCACGAGGTGCAGCGGCCAGGGAAACAAATCTAGGCCTCCCGCCAGGAAGGCGCGAATTCTACCACGGACGTTCCCGACCTACGCGGAGGCTCTTGGTGACTGTTATCGAGTCGATTCCGACTCACCTTGACCGTCTTCCAAGGTGTCTCTGGGTGGCTTTGAACTGCTAACATTTTGTCTAGCAGTCAAACGCTTAACCATATGCCCCACTCAGAGATGGCCAGAGCTACACTAAAAACAAACACACAGCAAATAAACCCACTGCTGTTGAGCTGACTCTGCCTCAGCAGCCTTGGAAGACAAGTGGAGACCTGGCCCAAATGGTTGCCTAGACCACAATCTTCAGGGAAGCAGATGGCGGCATCTTTCTCCCTCTGAGCAGCTGGTGGAGATGAACTGCTGACCTCACAGTTAGCAGCGGAGCACTGAACCACAGCACCCCCAGAGCTCCTAGCCCTACATAGGGGCTTCACTCCAGGTCCTCTCTGTCTCAGTGAGGGTCCCTGCCCCCAGGTAACTAACCCACCTCTTCAGGTGGAACTTGAGGTATTTGAGGATGTGTCGGCTGGGGAGATAGCTACAGCTCAGGCACGTCAGGATCTGCCAGCTGTACAGGTTGCCCACGCTGCCCGGATGGGGCACTTTGTTGGTCTGTTTGACGAGCTGGCAGTAGAGTTCATCTCGCAGCGGGCGGAGGTCGTGGCCTGTCTGCAGGACGCCCTGGATGATGGGAATGGGGTCAGATGTGGATTCCAGCTGCTGAAGGGAATTGAAGATCTTGATGGCTTCATCCTGAAGGGTTGTATAGCCTTTGTCTTTGAGTACTAGGAAAGCAAAACCAACACAGGGGTCTCACACAAGGGCTTCAGATCAATCCCGCAAACACCCACTGACAGGGCCCTAGACAGGGTTTCACGGCTGTCAGTCTTTACAGGAACGGACAACTTCATCTTCCGCCCTTGGAGCAGTTGGTGGGTTTGAACAGGCCACCACCTAACCCACAGCACCATCAGGGATCCTGACAAGGGCATCAGGGAAGATGTCGTCTAAGCGGCTGACAAGAGGAAGAAATGGGGTTAAAAGCCTGCCCTGGTGGTGCTGGAAGGTTGGCAGTTCAAGCCCACAGTCATTCCAAGGGAAAATGATTGGGCAGCCCACTTCTCTAAAGATTACAGCCTTGGAAACCTCGCGGGGCTGTTCCATTCTGCCCTACAGTGTCGTTAGGAGTCAGAATCGACTCAAGGTCTGTGGGGTTACATGAGGATAATTACGCTCTATTAGTTTACAAAACACTTACTTATAAGCGAGTCTAATAGAACCCTGGTGTGTCACTATAAGATCAGCACTGGATTGTTAATGGCAAGGTCGTTAGGTCAAACCCACCAGTCTCTCTCAGAAACCCTATACAGGGTTCATTCTGAGCTGGAATTGACTCAGCAGCACCCAACAGCAACAACCACATTGCCTAGGAGGTTCCAGGTTGGGTGTGCATGCTTTAGGGTCTGCTTCTCTAGAGCAGGGACAGACACACAGCGTCCAGGCAGAGAGCCTGTACTTTGTCTCCCTGAATCACTACAGAAACACTTAGCATCACACTACAACCAAGTGTGGCAAATCCCTGCTTTTGTAATGAAATGACTACATGGTATTGCGAAATGAATACAAGGTAACAAATGCTAATGAGAGTTACAGTCTCAAGCTAGCGGGGCGGAAGTGGTCACTTACGGTTTAGATTTATGTCTCCGTAGGGCAGGGGCAGGAGTGGAGAATGCAGGGGGTGGTGGGTGTAACGCAGGATGGGGTTCCGCTTGTAAATTTGCTCCACCACATCTACATTTAGACAGTTCTCCTGGAAGATGAAGCAACCGCGGTAAGGCAGGAAAGAAAAATGTAAGGAAGAAAGAAAACACAGGAAGGGAGTTAAGGGTTAGAAAAAAGCAACAAAAAGAGGGAACGGTTTACTATAAAAACATTTCCTAAAGGGCGAATGAAATCAAACACCTATGTTACATTTCAGAAGCCTTGAAACATCCATAAACCTGTTGTGTAGGGAGGTGGCCTGGGGGAGCCTTGTGCTGATCACTTCAATACAAGCATACCACACAATCTACTTTAGAAGATAAATCACCACAAAGAAATTAGCTCTATTTAATCTCTTTGGTTAGTTAACTGGTTAACTCAAAAAGTTCAGGGAAAGATCACAGAATTTTCCCATGAACTTCTGGGTACACTTTGCATTTCCCTTCATTTTCTAATCACAATAATAAATCTCCCCCAGAGATTGTATAAGGAGCTCTGGTAGTATAGTGGGTTACGTATTAAACTGCTAACGAAAGTTTAGCTACCAGCCGCTATTCAGGAGGAAGGTGAGGCTTTCTGGTCCCGTAAAGATGGAGTCCTGGTGTGGCTGGACTGAAAGATAAGCGCTGGACTGAAAGACCAGTTTGAACCACAAGGTCGGAGGTTCAAACTCATTAGCTGTTCCTCGGAAACCCTATACAGGGTTGCTATGGGTCAGAAATGGTTCGATGGCACTTAACAACAGCAAAAACAAAGGTGTACAGCCTCGGAAACCTTATACAGGGTAGTTAGTTATGAGTCAGAGCCAACTCCATAGCACTTTAACCACCAACTACCACCAGAGAGTATACATAGTTTAAAAATTAATTTAAACGTCTCTTGTTAATTAATCATCATTTAGCTAAATCATATTAACTTTGCCTGTAACTCATTTTTAAAAGCATTTTGCTAATTCTTGAAAATTGTTCTTTTGCATTCTCGAAAGTATCTGAAAATCTCATAAAGAATGGCCACAGTAAAGTTAAGTACAATTAAAATATAGCTGATAAACTAAAGTAAAAACTGGAAATGAATTTGAGAAAATTCCCTGCAGTTATTTCTCATTCTGGGGGGGGAACGGGCTCACCCTCATTCTCAAGTCCACCTTCCTTCCTATTCTTGAGATTGAACCAAGAGTCTCTCACTGAATTCCCAGCATGCACTCACTCTGCGAAACACTAATTGCAGGTATGAAATAACCAAGGTTACTTTTAGAACTTTAAATAAACAGAAAGTTGGAGGAGAGGCAATGAATCATACTCGGTAGTTAATTTCATTTCCATTATGAAACTTTTCCAATAACATCGAATTAAAAACTAGAAAAAAAAAAAAGCCCATTTGCTTATTACAAAAATTGTATGAGTAACTTGCCTAATTTCTTACGAAGCACTGTTTCCTATTTGGAAAATTCTATTTACATTTTTAAGCTCTATCTTCAAAATAATTAGCAAATATAAAGATAGGTAAGCTTTAAAAAAACAAGTTTGTTTGATAAAAGTTCTCTTTTTTTAAAAGCTCCTTTCTACAAAGGATGCTTCAATCTATCAATCATCAGAAATCCCACTATTCATACAGAGAGCGTTGGGTTCCATAGAAAAACCTTAGAATTCATCACTTGCTTGAATCTGGCTCTTAACACTCAGAAAACATGTATTTGGGGATCAAGAGGCCGGTGTGAATCTGTGGAAACACATATAATGCTCACGGATCAGACCCTCTCCCGTCTCTGGACCAGTTAAGCCCACGCTGCCGGATTCAGTTTCCTCTGCGTGCATTGATCACACGCATTCTAGCATGTTTTCTGTGAGAGTTTCAGCGCTTTCCTTGGCATGTGGAATCTGCCTGTGTGAGTAACTTGGAGGAAGAGCAGTAAAAATAAGACGCTTGAACTGGCTCTGCGTCAGGCATTGATTCTAAACGGGGCTACGTCAGCGATGTACCCAGAATATCCCGTCTCCTTTTCCAACCTTGGGACGGGGCAGTTCATGGATGCCATCTAATCTGTAATCCATTCAGCAGTCCTAGATGGAGCAACTGATCTTAACAGACAAGAAGCTACAATTGGACGCCATCAACATTGGTCTGGAGATTTGTGGGCTCCTGTGAGTTTGGAGTAACTTGACAGGAACCCCAAGTTTCCCAGACCAACCTGGGTTCCCTGGGAAGCCACTTGCGTGACCTAGAAACCATGCAAAGACCAAGAAGAGAATCACTTCTTACTCCTAGGAAGTCTCAGAAGTGGATCTTACAGTCAAAGTAGGCTGTCCCCAACAAAGACCTGGGCACGTCCCCGTGAGCTGGGTGCCCCACAGCCTCACCAACAATGACTGCTTCCCTGTGCCCGTTAGCCAATGATCGGGTTTGCATCTGTGACAACATCTGTAACATTCCCTAGACACAAAATATCCTTACCACAGAATTTCATGAACAGTACTGCCTTCTAAGAAGCTCTGGTAGCGTAGTGGTTACGAATCAGGCTGCGAACCGCAAGGTCAGCAGTTCGAAACTACCAGCTATTCCACGGGAGCAAGAGGCTTTCTGCTCCCGTAAAGATTTACAGCCTTGGAAACCCTGTACAGGGACACTACGAGTCGGAACTGACTCCACAGCAACAGTACTGCCTTCTACATTTCTATAATAACAACAACA